GAAGAAGAAGAAGAAGAAGAAGAAGAAGAATTTGATAAAGAAGAATTTGATAAAGAAGAAGAAAGAAGAAGAAGAAGAAGAAGAAGAATTTGATAAAGAAGAATTTGAAAAGAAGAAGAAGAAGAAGAAGAAGATAAAAGAAGAATTTGATAAAGAAGAAGAAGAAGAAGAAGAAGAAGAAGAATTTGAAAAGAAGAAGAAGAAGAAGAAGAAGAAGAAGAAGAAGAATTTGAAGAAGAAGAAGAAGAAAAGAAGAAGAAGAATTTGAAGAAGAATTTGAAAAAGAAGAAGAAGAAGAAGAAGAAGAAGAAGAATTTGATAATTTGAAGAAGAAGAAGAAGAAGAAGAATTTGAAGAAGAAGAAGAATTTGATAAAGAAGAATTTGAAAAGAAGAAGAAGAAGAAGAAGAATTTGATAAAGAAGAAGAATTTGAAGAAGAAGAAGAAGAAGAAGAAGAATTTGATAAAGAAGAAGAAGAAGAAGAAGAAGAAGAATTTGATAAAGAAGAATTTGAAGAAGAAGAATTTGATGAAGAATTTGAAGAATTTGATAAAGAAGAAGAAGAATTTGAAAAGAAGAATTTGATAAAGAAGAAGAAGAAGAAGAAGAAGAAGAAGAAGAATTTGATAAAGAAGAAGAAGAAGAAGAAGAAGAAGAATTTGATAAAGAAGAATTTGATAAAGATAAAGAAGAAGAAGAAAAGAAGAAGAATTTGAAAAGAAGAATTTGATAAAGAAGAAGAAGAAGAAGAATTTGATAAAGAAGAAGAAGAAGAAGAAGAAGAAGAATTTGATAAAGAAGAATTTGATTTGAAGAAGAAGAAGAAGAAGAAGAAGAATTTGATAAAAGAAGAAGAAGAATTTGATAAAGAAGAATTTGATAAAAAGAAGAAGAAGAAGAAGAAGAAGAAGAATTTGATAAAGAAGAAGAAGAAGAATTTGATAAAGAAGAATTTGATAAAGAAAAGAAGAAGAAGAAGAAGAAGAAGAAGAAGAATTTGATAAAGAAGAATTTGATAAAGAAGTAGAAGAAGAATAAAGAAGAATTTGATAAAGAAGAAGAAGAAGAAGAAGAAGAATTTGAAATTTGAAAAGAAGGAAGAAGAAGAAGAATTTGATAAAGAATTTGAAGAAGAAAAAGAAGAAGAAGAAGAATTTGATAAAGAAGAATTTGATAAAGAATTAGAAGAAGAAGAAGAAGAAGAAGAAGAAGAATTTGATAAAGAAGAATTTGATAAAGAAGAAAGAAGAATTTGAAAAGAAGAAAGAATTTGAAGAAGAAGAATTTGATAAAGAAGAAGAAGAAGAAGAAGAAAAGAAGAATTTGATAAAGAAGAATTTGATAAAGAAGAAGAAGAAGAAGAAGAAGAATTTGATAAAGAAGAATTTGATAAAGAAGAAGAAGAAGAATTTGATAAAGAAGAATTTGATAAAGAAGAAGAAGAAGAAGAAGAAGAATTTGATAAAGAAGAAGAAGAAGAAGAAGAATTTGATAAAGAAGAATTTGATAAAGAAGAAGAAGAAGAAGAAGAAGAATTTGATAAAGAAGAATTTGATAAAGAAGTAGAAGAAGAAGGAGAAGAATTTGATAAAGAAGAATTTGATAAAGAAGAAGATGAAGAAGAAGACGAAGAAGAAGAATTTGATAAAGAAGAAGAAGAAGAAGAATTTGATAAAGAAGAATTTGATAAAGAAGTAGAAGAAGAAGAAGAAGAAGAATTTGATAAAGAAGAAGAAGAAAAAGAAGAAGAATTTGATAAAGAAGAATTTGATAAAGAAGTAGAAGAAGAAGAAGAAGAAGAAGAAGAATTTGATAAAGAAGAAGAAGAAGAAGAAGAAGAATTTGATAAAGAAGAATTTGATAAAGAAGTAGAAGAAGAAGAAGAAGAAGGAGAATTTGATAAAGAAGAAGAAGAAGAAGAAGAAGAATTTGATAAAGAAGAATTTGATAAAGAAGTAGAAGAAGAAGAAGAAGGAGAAGAAGAAGAAGAATTTGATAAAGAAGAAGAAGAAGAAGAAGAAGAATTTGATAAATAAGAATTTGATAAAGAAGTAGAAGAAGAATTTGAAGAAGAAGAAGAAGAAGAATTTGATAAAGAAGAATTTGATAAAGAAGTAGAAGAAGAATTTGAAGAAGAAGAAGAAGAAGAATTTGATAAAGAAGAATTTGATAAAGAAGAAGAAGAAGAAGAATTTGAAGAAGAATTTGAAGAAGAAGAAGAAGAAGAAGAAGAAGAAGAAGAAGAAAACGAATATGAAGGAGAAGAAATTTTAAGGAGAATTTAAAGGAGAGAAATAAAAGATGAAGAATGTGGAGAAGAAGAAGAAATTTTAAGGAGAATTTTTAAGAAGAAGAATGTGAAGAAAAAATTCTTTAAGAAGAATTAAAGAAGAAGAAAAATAAAAGTTAGGAAGAATTTTAAGAAGACGAATGAAAGAAGATGAAGAATTTAGAGAAGAATATGAATAAGAGAAATATGAAGAAGATAAATTTGAAAAACTTGAAGAAGAATATGTGTTATCAATTGCTATTTTTATAGGTTAGTCCTAGCCATAAATTCCTCACGTCTCGCTTCAAAATGGACCTTTGCTTTCTTTTACACTCCAATACCTTCAACTGATCTAGCTAGTTTATAATGAAACTAATTTCGTCCCTCCATTAGTAACAACAACAACAACAACAACTTTTTCTTAAATTCCGTGTCACTTAAGTGAAAAGTCGGCCAACTATGTTGAATTTATTGCCACAACAGATGTGTACATGCAACGGGTACTGTTTACAAAAAATGTCCTGTTACAAGCAAAAGTACTTATTAAAGTATAGCGATAAACTTCTTCTTTTTTTCTTTCTTTCTTTTTTTTTTTTTTTTTGGCAGATTTAGACAAAAACATCTTTCTTTTCAACGATGGAAAGTTTAAATGTTTAGCATCTGATAAATATTTGACAAGCTAAGGTAAAAGTAAATCACATATTTAACAAAAAAAGTCTTCCCATCCGATCCAGCGTTAAATAAAGTAGCCCTTAGGGACTGTCAGAAAAAAAATCATCTTGACTTTTCAAATAAGAATATATTTTTCTACATAAGGCATTTTTCTCCGAAAAACTATTTTTTTGCTATTTTTTTTAATACACTACTGTCAATTATAAACTTCAGATCACAAATAATTTGCTTTTAAATGTTTAAATTTTAGAGAGGGGTTCAGTTTGCTATGTTAATTTCATTGTAAATTGATCCTCCAATTGAAAAAAAAAAGGTAAGCAAAATACTAACAAAAGTAAAAGTTAAGACAATGTTTTACATGCATAGTTCGTTATTTGAATTTTAACACAATTCAGGAGAAATGTAAGAATATGCTTTCCAAATCCAAAGGCCAACACTCTACAGTTACAGGAATTCCAACATGACTGACCAGGTCTTCAGGAGTTTAGCCGTACTCGCCACCCTTGTCCAATAGGTTTTTGAATTCAAAGTTGTTCTCCTCTTAGACAGGTTGCCACCCAAAACTATAGAACCCAGTCTGTCCTGCTATTTACCCATAGATGGGGAGAGGGGAGATGGATTCACACCATTCCCAATCATATTTGCAAGTAACTGAATGTAACTAACTCAACTGAAATTCGAACTCAGTTCTATCGATTCCGCAATCCGAATCGCTATCCATTACTCCGCTTTTAATTATTATATAAATATGACGTTTTATTTCTTTCGTCTTTCAATGATAATGTTATATATATATATATATATATATATATATATATATATATATATATATATATATATATATATATATATATATATATATATATATATATATATATATATATATATATATATATATATATATATATATATATATATATTCTAATGTTTTATGTTTTATGAATATGTCCTGAAGATGGTCTACTAGACCGAAACGTCCGACGTTGACATTATATTAACATTAAAATAGCATATTATGATTTTTGTTTGTTTTTCCGTATATTTTTCTTTATATATATATATATATATATATATATATATATATATATATATATATATATTCATCATTTCAGAGTAATATTTTAATGAAAAAATTGAATAAATATTTGTCGGAGAGGTGGATTTCTGTAGAAAGCTCAAACTTAAATTGAAGTATCAATTTTGGGGTTCTGCTATTTATATATATCGCTCTCCGGTAATGGCTGACTGTAATAAGCCTGAATGTTGTGAAAGTTTCGTTTGCTCATAAATTGAGTTTAACTTTATGTTTAAAGTGTCTTACTTAGCGGACTGCCACTTAATCTTAAATCCGGAATTAGAAGGAAAGATCGGGAGACAAGGTTAAATTCGAAAATGTATTCAAAGGTAATTTGATTTTCGGAACACAAAAAGGGATGTGGAAACGAGGCTGCAATTAACGGGCAGGCTGATATAAAAAGAGAAATTGGAAAAAAGTAGAAAATAAAATAAACGACATTGGGATAATAGTGATGTTATAATTTAGATGTGGCATAAGGCCGAAAGTATGAAGCACCCAGTGAGGAAAGCTTAGATGTGGCATAAGGCCAAATGTATGAAGCACCCAGTGAAGATCGAACTCACCACTCAGTAAACGATTTCCTAAGTATAGCTTAAATGTGGCACAAGGCCGAAAGTATGAGGTACCTAGTGAGAATCGAACTCACCACTCTTTAAATGATTTTCTAAGCGTAGCTTAGGTGCGGCACAAGGCCGAAAGTATGAGGCACCCAGTGAGGATCGAACTCACCACTCAGTAAATGATTTCCTAAGCATAGCTTAGGTGTAGCACAAGGCCGAAAGTATGAGACACCCAGTGAGGATAAAATTCACTACTCGGTCAAAATAGTAGTTTTTAAAGCGTAGATTAGATGTGGCACAAGGCAAGTTTGGGGCACCCAGTGAGGATCGAACTCACTATTCAGTCGTTACTGATCTAGCGAGACAAGCTTGCTAACCATTGCACTACGTCGACGTGTGCGAGAATGGAAGAACAGTGGGTAGATTGGGGGAAAAAATCCAATTTTAAATCACCGACCATGTCCATCTATTCTGGAGTCGAGGGTAATATTAGATTTAATTTAATGAATTAATTTATTTTTGGAGATGAGCAGCCCACTGTTGACAACTGCGTTTTGCTGCTGTGAGCGAAACGCGTTACTATTTTAAGTTATTCAAGAAAAGAGCATTATTTGATAAATTTATATACTATCTGCTGCCTTCTGGGTCAGTTAAAATGTCTGCGATCGAAACCAAAAACACAATCTCACTTATGTGTGTGTGTGTGTGTGTGTGTGTGTGTGTGTGTGTGTGTGTGTGTGTGTGTGTGTGTGTGTGTGTGTGTGTGTGTGTGTGAGCGCACGTGCATGTGCGGCGCATTCCTACTGAAAAGGATTGTCCGATAAGATCATTTTTCTTTACATTTTTTTAAACCGTAGAGCCACGGGTACTACTGGTTGTAATTCATAAAATATTAAATCAATTTTTCAGAAAAATACGTTTCTCAAGTCCATTACCTGTTTATCGCATTTTTCCAGTAGTGATGGGAATTTCCTTCCTAACCTTTTCTTTGAAGTAGTGTGGAATGTCAACATTATGATTATGTCATGTATGTTTCCCTCAGCCTTGAGACAAAAAAATTCAAAATCTGTGATCTGGACAACAAAGTCATTTCTTGTAGAATTAAATGACACTTAAATAAGACGATACAGCTTCGTCGGCAAAATGGTAACCTCGACCATAGTCAGATGGTAGATACAACCATAGACAAATGGTAACCTCAACCATAGAAAAATGGTAACCACAAGCCTAGTCAGATGGTAACCACAACCATAGATAAATGGTAACCTCAACCATAGATAAATGGTAACCTCAACGATAATCACATGGTAACCACAACCATAAACAGATGGTAACCTCAACCATAGATAAATGGTAACCTCAACCAGAGTCAGATGGTAAACATAACCATAGACAAATGGTAACCTTAACCAAGTCAGATGGTAACCACAACCATAGACAAATGGTAACCTCAACCATAGACAAATGGTAACCTAAAACATGGTCAGATGGTAACCACAACCATATACAAATGGTAACCTCAACCATAGGCAAATGGTAACCTCAAACATAGACAAATAGTAACCTCAACCATAGTCAGATGGTAACCACAAGCATATACAAATGGTAACCTCAACCATAGACAAATGGTAACCTCAATCATAGTCAGATGGTAACTACAAGCATATACAAATGGTAACCTCAACCATACGCAAATGGTAACCTCAACCATAGACAAATGGTAACCTCAACCATAGTCAGATGGTAACTACAAGCATATACAAATGGTAACCTCTACCATAGACAAATGGTAACCTCAACCATATACTTTTAAGAATTGTCCATGTCTTGATTAAGTCATTATTTTCTTCTCGAGTTATATGTGACATCTGTTTTAGTTGTTGCTGTTCTTGAAACGCCACATGTAATGTTTCTGTTATCTGGTACAGTTATTTGCGATTCTGTAGCGCCAGTCAACAAGGTTAGAAGGATGACTCCTCACTGGGACCTCCAGGTTTCATTTACTCAAAGCCATTTCTAACCATTGATCTGCGAAAGCGGTTGCATACAGCTGACAGTTGGGATTTTGCTGAACGGTTTTGTTGACACACTTGACATCCAGAGGAAAGCCTCGATCTGATGAGACATGACACTAATTTTCAGGTTAATGTTTTGGTTTTGTAGCAATGTGTGGTGTTGGGCGAAACTACCCATAGTACAGCCTATTCTATGTTCAATTTCCTTTCCTCTTATACTAAATGTGTTATTACTGATTCATACACCGAGGTATTTGAAGTGTTGGGTATGTGTTAAATACATATTCTAGATTTTTATGATGGATTCATGGTAGGCGCCATTAACGTTTCTAATTCAATTCTAGATCATAGTTTCTAATTTGAAAAAATTTCGAAAACATCGAGAACGAGGCTGATTTTTTGCTCATTATTTTTATCCCAACAATGAATATCTACGCCATCAGCATACCCCCCCTACCCTCATCACAAGCACTTTGGCCTCGGGAGGGAAAGCATGATCGCTGTGTTCTATTAGTAGATTTGTTTGGAATGTGGTATTGGATGCTTACATGATCATTGCCCATTTCTTCACAATGTAACTAAATGTAAAAACAATTAAATTAACAATAACACTAAATGTAAAAACAATTAAATTAACGATGTAACTAAATTTAAAAACAATTATTTTAACGATTTAACTAAATGCAAAAACAACTCCTTCAAATTTTATGCGGGAAGAGAATAGTTTGGGATGCAGGATTTAAGATTAACTAAGTAGTACTTATGTATATTTATTGCACCATGGCCGAGTTAGAACGTTCGCATTCTTACCATGAGACCCGGGTTCGAATCTCTCCGTGATCGATTTGCCAGATGTTATAAGACTGGAGGAGTGATCCCAGTAGTTTTCAGGCACTTTGGAAAGT